GCTGAAATAAATTATGTATGCATGTCTTCTAATAACCTTGTAGTTGTATTGGCATTTTTTTTTGGTTTTGCCTGTGAATATGGGGAGTATTTGTGCTAAATCCAGTGAAAATACCCTTCAGGAAGACAGTGAAATAAACACATTCTCAGGTGACAGAAAACTAAGAGGATTTACCAGCAGCAAAACTGTTCTAAAGGAAATGCTTAAGAGAGAAACTCAGAACTTTAAAACTTAAGGAAGTATATGGGTAAATATAAAAACTCTAAAAGAAATGCTTAAGTCTGAAGGGAAATGATACCAGAGAGAATCTCAGAACTTCGCAACTGAAGGAAATACAAAAGTAGTATCTGGGTAAATATAAAAGAATATTTTTCTCCTTTTATAAAGTGGGTTTCTTATAGACAGTATAGAGTTTGGTTTTATAGTTTAAAAATAATCCAACCTGATAATCTATCATACCTGTACAAATATATATATATAACTGTTGATAGCAAAAATAATAACATTATGTGGTAGAGATTTCAGTGTGTAGATATATACATATGATAACTATAACATAGAGGGCAAGAGTTAGTGAACTAGGTTATAAGGTTTTTGCATTTTATTTGAAGTGGTAAATTATTAACTCTAAGAAGGCTGTGAAACAATTGATAGCTATATTGTAATTCCTAGAGCAAGCACAAAAAAAAAAAAAAAAAGACAGAGCCAAATGAGTCAACAGAAAAATTAAAATAAAACTCTAAAAATATTTCACATAATTAAAAAGAAGATGGGAAAAGGAGACACAAAAAACCAAAAACAAAAACTACAATAAAGGAGGGGACAGACGACAAATAATTACATTACATTTAAGTAGTATAAACACACCAATTAAATGACAGTGATTATCATATTCGATTAAAATTAAAATACAGGGCCAAGTGCCATAGCTCACGCCTGTAATCCCAGAACTTTGGAAGGCTGAGGTGGGTGGATCACCTGAGGTCAGGAGTTCAAGACCAGCCTGACCAACAGGGAGAAACCTCACCTCTACTAAAAATACAAAATTAGGCTGGGCGCGGTGGCTCATACCTGTAATCCCAGCACTTTGGGAGGCCAAGGTGGGAGGATCATGAGGTCAGGAAATAGAGACTATCCTGGCTAACACGGTGAAAACTTGTCTCTACTAAAAATGCAAAAAATTAGCTGGGCACCTGGTGGCGGGTGCCTGTAGTCCCAGCTATTCAGAAGGCTGAGGCAGGAAAATGGCGTGAACCTGGGAGGCAGAGCTTGCAGTGAGCGGAGATCGTGCCACTGCACTCCAGCCTGGGCGACAGAGCAAGACTCCGTCTCAAAAAAAAAAAAAAAAAAAAAAAACACACAACGCAAAACAAAATTATCCAAGAATGGTGGCACATGCCCGTAATCCCAGCTACTCAGGAGGCTAAGGCAGCAGAATAGCTTGAACCTGGGAGGTAGAGGTTGCAGTGAGCCATGATCATGCCATTGCACTCTAGTCTGGGCAACAAGAGTGAAACTCCGTCTCAAATAATCAAAATAAAATAAAAATACAAAACCCAACTATACTCTGTCTACCAGAAAACTACTTTAAATATAGAATATAACACCTAGGGACAGTATAGAATAGAAGAGAATGAAAATAAAAGGATGGAAACATACTCAAAACATGGAAATATACCGTGGAAACATTAATCAAAAGAAAGCTAGATTGGTTATATAAAAATTAGGTAAATAAATAAGAAATACTGGCTGGGCATGTTGGCTCACGTCGGTAATCCTTGCACTTTGGGAGGCTGAAGTGTGTAGACTGCTTGAGCCCAGGAGTTCGAGACCAGTCTGGGCAACATAGTGAAATCCTGTCTGTACAAAAAAAATACAAAAATTAGCCAGGTATGATAGCATGTGCCTGTAGTCCCAGCTGCTCAGGAGGCTGAGGTGGGAGGATGGCTTGAGCCTGGGAAGTGGAGGTTGCAGTTTTCTGAGATCATGTCACTGAACTCCAGCCTGGGCAAGAGAGTCAGACCACCTCAAAAAAAAAAAAAAAAAAAAAAAAAGAAAGGAAAGACAATCACATAATGATAAATAAAAGAGTCAATTCCCAAAGAAGATATAATAATCCTAAATATATATGCATCTAATAACAGATCATCAAAAGACATGAAGCAAAAACCGACAAAACTGAAAGACATATACAAATCCGTAATTATATGTGGAGACTTCAGTGCCTCTCTTTTCAATAATAAATAGAACAAGCATCGCTTCTCAGCCTTTTGGCTAAGATCAAGAGTAATAAATAGAACAAGCAGAATAAGGCCAGGTGCAGTGGCTCATGTCTGTAATCCCAGCACTTTGAGAGGCCAAGATGGGAGAATTGCTTGAGCGCAGGAGTTCGAGACCAGCTTGGGCAACAGGGCAAAACCCTGTCTCTACAAAAAAATATACAGAAATTAGGTGGGTATGGTGGAATGCATCTGTAGTCCCAGCTACTTAAGCTTGAAGCCAGGAGGTTAAGGCTGCAGTGAACCATGTTTGTGCCCCTGCATTCCAGCCTGGGACGCAAAGTAAGACTTAGTCTCAAAAAATTTAAAAATAAAAAAGAACCCTCTGCCCAACTATAGCCAAGTACACATTCTTTTAGTGCACATGGAACGTTACTAAAAGACCTTCCGGGCTATGGAACAAATCTTAGCAACTTTTAAAGATGAAACCAGACAATGTCTCTTCCTGACCTAATATTTGGATATTAAACAAAAATTTCTAAATCACATGAATCAAAGATAAAATCATAAGGGAAATTAGAAAATATTTTCATAAAATGGAAATGAAAACATACCAAAACCTGTGGGATTCAGCTGATGCAAAATTTAGAGGGAAACTGAGACATGCTTTTATCTTTTTAAAAAAGAAATATCTCAACCAGCCTGACCAACATGGAGAAACCCCGTCTCTACTAAAAATACAAAATTAGCTGGGCATGGTGG